TCTCATGAGAGTGAGTAACAGTATTCTCATGCAGCAGAAAAGAAATAAAGAAAATGACAGAGGAAAAAACGGAAAAAGTGGAACAAGAAAGTCGGGCGCATCTGACATTCAGAGATGGATCTGGATTACATAAGAACCTTGACCCATCTTATCCGATTTTAATCTTTTTGAAGTCTTCCCCAGGCCACAAGGCAGTAAATTTGGAAGACGGAAGGATGCCCAGCCAGGACAGGGACGGACGGTAGAGTCCACAGCTTGTGAGGGCGGTCTCTGTGTTCTTGGTGACGCAAGTATCGACTCCTGCAATTATTATGAAAAAATACCTCCGCGATCTCTCCAGGACGGATCTTTTAGGGCGCTCTCTTCCTTACAAGGCTCGGGCTCCTTCCAACTTGGAGGTGGGTTTCCAGCACGTGGCCGCAGTATGCGTACTCCGTACAGTACCTGTATTTTGCCCAACTGGGACTCTCACTCACCTACCTAGGCAGACAGAAAGCTAGGAAGGCGCCTCACCGCGCAGCAAAGCGGGCTGTCTCCTGCCCTTCCGTTTTCTTCGGGACGGCAAAGCACCGGCGCGGTCCAAACATAAACCGAGAAGGCGTGGTACCTCAGGTCCCGTCAGGTCCCGTCAGGTCCTTGGTGGGCAAAAACTTATCCCAACGTCACTCGAGCCCAGTCCCAGTCGACGGGAGTCGGCTTCGGGCCTGGCTCCGGTCTGGTAGTGGCCTCCTTCAAGCTCTCGACCCCTCATCGTCATCACGGTTCGTCACTGCATACGATTCGATCGTCTGTCCACTTCATCTTGTTTCATCTCATACCTCAGTCCAATCAACACACTTGTCACCCTCAAGCTCAGGCAACCGCGCTACGAACCTACCTACCTACCTACCTTACCTTATGACCGTCCAATACAAACTCCACTACTTCCAACGACCTGCCGACTCCCATTTGGAATACCAACAGTAACACTCAACACGATGGATCACCCGTCTCGAGCTTTGGCCGTCCTTTCGCCTCTTGCGCCCCTCTTCAAATCTCGCTCCGACAGAGCTGTACCTGGGTGACAGGAGGGGACGGGACCTGGACCTTGACCTTGACCTGGGCCTTGTCATGGACGTCGACGTCGACATGGGATACATATACCCAAGGTACGGATACTTGGGAAGCAACACTCCTGCCACCGACCGGCCCCTGGACACGGACATCTGACGTTCAAAAAAAGCCCGGGGCGGCATGCGGTACGATGCGCCGCCATGGAATGCGCCGTGAGACGGAGCACTTCCTGTGCTTCCAGCTTCCTGTGTCTCCTCCTCCGTACGCAGTCAGTCTCTGTATGCGTACGGTACTCGCCTGTCGCCTGTGCAGCTACAATGGCAAGCCAACTTCTGCCTGACTGTGATTGGAATTGGGGATCGTCACGGAGAGATGCTGCATCATCCCTGTCAGCGCCTCCGATGCCAGCGGCAGTATTCCTCCGCACCCTGTCAATCGACCTACCGCCCACTGGGCATCTCATTCTCAGCATCGTCTAGGTTTTTCCTGCCCATCCCATTCCCATTCAAATGGGAGCTCGCAAAGCCCGAAGCCGTCACAGTGAGAGATTTCGTTAATGGACTTGACTGGGCCACAAGACTCTTAACAACGTCAGGAAGAGGACCGATCCTGAGGGATATCAAAAACTTCCGGAAACACATAGCGCCATTCTATCTTGCGCGACTGCCTGGCGTATACTCGACAGTGAAGGTAGCTTACAGTTTTGGCTCTACTCCCTCGGAAGTCATCAACATGACGCGTATGGCCAAGAAGATCAGAGCTTGACTTGTCGGCCGTCTACCATGGCCAGTTATCAACATGCCGTTTTAGCCCAATTCAACCCGCCTCAATCTCGCCAAGACGATGCATCAAGTCGGCGCAAATCGACAACACCACTTCCTCATCACCTGGCGCCCTCTACTCCCATCGATTTCCAGGGCCATCATGTGCCTCCGTCTTTCACGTCTACCACACCACCACACCACTACCACCAACAACAACCCAGTCACCCAGTGCCTCCAACGCTGGGACGGCCAGCGCTGAGCGATGCGAATGCCACATACAGGCCAGGGGGGTTGTGCTTGCTGGTGGTGACTGACTGGGGTTCGACTGCTGAATCCCAGTCATCACTGATCCTGATCCCAGCGAACCCCCTTGCCCAGCCGCTGCCCCTCAACAACCAATCTGCGATCCAGCCGTGACAGCAGGCCAATTATCGTGGGGCATAACCCCTGCCTGGAGATGCAATGACCGCAAAAAGTCGTACCATTTTGCTCGCCATCAGAGATTGTTAGACTCGACCTTGAAGTCGAATACTGGCGCTCGATGCTACTCCTCATACGCAGTACGCCGCTAAGCTCTATGATTCCGTCCCCCAACGGAAGTGTCTTTAACAAGGTCCTACGCCGTACACAGGCAGTATTCGCCCTGCACTATTTTACCCAGGCCCCGACGGGAGGCTCCAACGGCGGGCTCCAACGGCGGTTTGCCTGCTGTGAAAGCTGGCCTGCCGCTGCGGCACCCGTATCTTGCGTCGATGCGACACCTCACCCTCAGAGATCGAGTCGAGCTATTGACGGTATCTGGCCACTTGCTACTCTGAAGCGATCAGGAAGGCATCAGGGATTATCTCGTACCACATGTGTCCACGATAGACCGGAGGCAGGCCCGAAGAGGCCAAAACTGAACGGAACGTCATCCAGGACTCGAAGCCCAAAATGCAGACCATCTGCGCATCAGTCACCCAATCGACCTCCTGTCGCCGCCAATCTGGGTGCTAAAATCTCTGGGCCTGGATGCTCCCCGGCCCATCGACAAGATGGATACATGGACAATACGATGCGTTACCTGATCCCCTTGGACCCCTGTCTGCTCTGACCGGTATCCGTACATGCAATGGTGCAGACAGCACACGCATCTTGTTCCTCTGGCTCGCGACGATACCCAGTCCAACACACCGCACATCTGGTCCGCAAGCAGCGGTTCCTTGCCCTACCCCCACATAACCCCAAGAACCTGAACAGTGCTATGGGAGGGATCTGGTTCATCAGGAGGAGCAAGCAAAGCCGACATGGACGTAGATACCGCCGTTAAGGCACTGTACCGAAGCCTACCCTACCGTACCCTGGCCTGCTGTGCTCCTCCTCGTGCCCCTGTAGCTGCACAGGTAGTGTAGGCACCTCCATACGCAGTATCCGTACTTCGTACATATCTTAGTTATGTAGGTACACTACTTCCATCCGTACCTGCTCGTGGAATATACGTCCACTCAGAAATCACACCTCGCTCGCCCTGGGCTGGGCTGGGTGTCAGTCGTCGCTGATCTCATAATACCTCTGTCATTTCCTCTCATAACCCACACACGTTTGCGTTTTCTCTCTTTCTTCCCTTTCTTTCTCTCTTCTTCCTTTCTTCTCCCTCATCAACTCATCTCAGTCCATCTCATTCCCCGACAAACACAACGCTGCTCCTGCGACCTTCGCGACCTGGCCTATCATCAGCCCGACCTTCGAAACTATCTGGATCGGGTGTCAGATCTAGGGGTACGATCTCAGCTACGCGACAGAAAAGCAGTTGGTATCAGATTCCGCGCTTAAACAACACGCGACCCTCCTGGCATATCTTGCTCGCCTTCGCCTCATCTCAGACTTGGGTTGTTGGACATAGCAGACCGAGCCAGGCACGAACGCTTTTAAGCAAACCATTCACCACGCGCACAATACCTCTAGCGCGCACACACAGCACACAGCACATACACCCTCTCTTCAGCACTCGTTGAAGGGCGCCCGCCCTCCAAGGCGCTAGACCGGCACCAAAAAGCAACGGCATCGAAAAGAAATTCAGAAATTCCAGCGGCCCAGGCCCACGGTATTTTCACACACCCACGCCCCTCGGCGAGTCTGAGTCTCACTCCCGGTTCCCAGACCCCGTCGAAATAGGCTCACCCCGCCCTGCCTGACCGAGGGATTTTAACAGTGTTGTCTTGGACGAAATATCCCAGAAAGCCGCCACAAAGAGCAGCGTGGTAACTTGACCAACGCTAGGCGGCTTTTTCTTTCTCAGCTCGGAACCTGTCGACAAGTCCAATTTGAACCAGCATCCCCCCGATTTCTTCTCCCCTCCCCCCCTTCTCATTCTCACACACCACACACACACACCCCCCAGAGAAAGATACATACGGTGACCTTCCCGTCCCGCCACCACGCACCTTACACGCGCCGATAGCTTGATTGATCAGATCTTGCCTACCGGGTACCCAGCTGGAGAGTGTCGACTAACCTAACCTCATCTCTCCTCGTCTTTTGGCCAAGCCACACACACACACACACCACACTGTCTCTGGTTGGTTTGGTTTTCCAGTCGCCGTCACTCTCACTTTCTCTTCCTGAAGTACTCTCCCACTCCCTTTCTCGCCTCTGCGACTACGAGCTCTTCCTTTCCCGGCTTTTATTCTTGAGCCTCCCACCTTCGATTATTTCCTCCATCATCTCCACCCATCTACACCACATTTTACCGGACTCCCGTCTTGTCACCGACCTCACGGACTAGGCCCGCTCTCGTCCATTCGTGCCTCGGTCGAGTCAGATGCCCAGAGACTCTTCATTGTATCTGGGGTTCTAGTCAACATTCATCCCTTCTCCCGGCAAACCCGCCATGGAAGCGGGCGGATCTGGTACTAGGCAAAGGTCCGTTCGATTCTCACAAACACCCCCCGTTACCTCATCATTTCGCTCAAAGACATTAACAAATCCTTTCCTTTAAACAGCCATCCACCTTCTGCCAGCCATCCCGATCGCTTTGAGTCCCGTCATCCTCCTCCAAGAGAGCCTCTCGACAGCAGAAACTACCGCGACGGCCCCGCCATGGCGACTGCAGCCCTTATTAGCCCGAGCACAACCCCGTACGGCCATCCGACATCTTTTTCATCAAGCTATCCGCACCCAGCGCCCGGTCCCAGCATCGCAGGCATGATTTCCCCAGTCGAGCCTCGACGACCCTCGGATGAGTCTGAGACTCCTCATCGACAATCTCTCCCTTCTCTCTCCGAGATCATCTCTGGTGGTCCAAAGCCCAGCCCGTATCCTTCTTCTCAGGCCTCAGCCTCCAGCATGTCGGGCTCGCAGAGCTTTCCCTCTCCCTTCGCATCAGGGCCGCCGAGATCCTATCCCGAGTCGTCTGTCGACAAGAACTCACCTCGACCTCATCATCTCGCCTCGTCGTACGCACCCAGGCAGGATCCGCTGCCGGCCATTTCTGACCCCCCGAGACCACCGCCATTCGCCGCCCGTCCGCCGCCCGCGCCTATGAGCAGCTTCTCCGGCCCTCAACCCAGCCCGCCTCACAAATCTGAGCATATGCGGGAAACCGACACAAGGGCGGCGGAGCCAGCTGGCCCGTATGCGCAACACTCGGGACCACCTCCGCCGATATATTCCCACCAACCTCATCACCAAAGCCAGCTCCCACCAGGCCAGGTTCCTCTCCCACCTTCGTATCCCGTTTCGCCCCGCCACGGCGACGCTCGCCACGGAGGCCCGCCTCTGACATCGCCGTACGAATCTCAGCGTCCTGGAGCACACGCCGATGAACCAGATCTTGGCCCGGCTCGCCCTCAGTACGATCATCGCACGCTCAACCGACACATTGATGCATGGGGCTACCAGGATTGCCTTTCTAGAGTGAGTCTCCTTTAGGGTGGCGCGTTGTCCGTCAAGCTTACCAATAAGTTCAATCAGATCGCTGGAGCAACGAGGACGATCTACAACTTCGCCGAAGCGTACGGACGAATTGCTGCGGAGCAGCACGGTCCCCATCCTTTGCCCGACAGGCTCCCTACAGAGAGGGAAGTGAACGACATGCTCGACAACGTGGACTACATCAGAAGCTCGCTCGACTCGGTGCGACAGCTCGTCAGAGACACCAACGAACGTGCACGGGCAGCCGGCAAGCAGAAGGGCTACGAGGATGAGGACACACCGATGTACGACGGTATGAACAAGAACAACTACGGCATCACCGAGGTCAAGAAGCGCCGTGGGGTAAGTTTTGGTTCGAGCGATAGTCGAGCCAACAAGCGGGCTAACACTCGGGAACAGAGAGCCGCGCCCCCCGGAAGATGCCACAGCTGCAACAGAATCGACACTCCCGAATGGCGACGCGGCCCCGACGGCGCCCGGACACTGTGCAACGCTTGTGGTCTGCACTACGCCAAGTTGGAGCGGAAGCGCCAGCTCGAAGCACGACAAATCCGCCCCAAGCCTTCCGATGAGAGGAGCTCAAACTTGTAAACTCTCGCAATTGCGCCACCTTCACCTCAAACCTGAACAGTACATATCGAAAGAAGCCACAGGCTTCGTGGACCACGCATAACTCGATACCACAACGCATCGGTTCCAGTTTGCAACCTACACACGAATCTCAGATACCCCAGCCACACCACATCTGGCCAATCTTGAATTGAGCAGCGGGCATCTCCGCTGCGTTATCTTCATACACTAGCAACACAACTGGCTATATTATTCTTTCCTCAATACCCGGCATCGACCTCGGCAGTGCTTTCCCAACGTTTTTTCTATTGTACATATCCTGCTCTTTCAACAAATTATTGGATGGGGCACCCAAGGCACAAGGCATTCATCTGGCGGCGTTCACCACATTATTGACCGATTATTCTTATTATCTCTTTGACCTGTTCACGTCCAGTGATGGAAAGCGGAATTCCTTTCTAGATAAAATGGGCGCTATGCAATCAGGTTGCGTAGGAAAGGTCCCCCTCTTGAGCGAGCAGCTGCAGAAACCTCGACGTCGATCGCTATCGGAGTCGTAACAACATGCGACGTTTTCAAACTTTTCTTTGACACGTGGGAAAGGTGTGGGTTTTCAGGCTATCAGGGAAAATATCATGGGGGAGCATTTCATCACCGGTCCCCCTTGAGGGCAGGAAAGTAGAACAGCGACGTCGGCGTCGTGTCATTATCGAGATGTCACCCTCCGACCGGGGAATCTCTAGGGCATTTTTCACGTTTTTCTTTTCTCTTCACATTCTTCACATTGGGAGGAAACAACCCGGCTATCTTGGGACTCTGAGGAGGAAACAGGGTACACAAGCGCTCAGTATTAGCTGATTTTAATTGTAAGACTAGCCGGAGAGACATATACCACGGCGGTGAGGATGGCAGCAGGGTGGGACTTTGGGCCGCCGCATCGGAGATAGCAAAGAGAAGATGTCACACACACACGCATCCACATTTGTGATTCAAAAAGTACGGATACCTTCCTCGTTCGAATTCGCTCCAAGCGCGACGGCCTCGGAAAACAACAAGCCCCAGTATAAAGTATGCGAACCTTTGCATGTACCAGCTCCACACACTCACACACGCAAAAGAAGCGCGGATATCGCCGTGTTCCAAGAGATTGGGTTTTGACAGGCCGGGCAAGAGATGAGAAACTTCGCTTATGGGTCCCCTCCCTGCCCCCTCCCCTCCCCGGTGATGGGTAGGGGAGGGGATGGAGATGGAGATGGAGATGGAAGGGGGGGAGGAACACGCGGCGACGCTGGGGTGGGCGCAAGGACATGCCTGAATGGAAGTCATGTGGACGGTGTTTTTTTCTGGGACCATTTTTGGAGGAACTACCACCGAATGGAAGGGGAAATCCGAGACGACTTGAGAACCAAGGAATTGGTAAAACTGGATATAACGTGTGCATATCACCATGGTACTTCTTGTTGGTAGTTTGTCTGATGTAAACCAGGGGCTGGCTGCTGACGGCGTCGCTCCTCCTCCTCTCTCTCTCTCTCTTCCCCCCCGCTCTGTGTTTATGCCTTCCTTCCATGTGTTCTTTATTTTTGTTTTTTCCTTCTATGAGATCTCGTTGTCGCGAAATCGCCTCGTGGACGGGGAGTAATACGGATGACAAATTTCCCGATGGGACGGATAGACGGACGGACGGGCAAGGGCGGCGGAGGGCGGTTGCGGAACGGGTAGAATCTCACACTCATCGCGATTTCCCTTTTGATTTGATTGATTTCGATTTCGATTCAGATGAGATGTGGTGGGCCGGGGGGGAAGGAAGGAGGGAGGGGTGTGCGCGCATTCTCTCTTTTTTTTATGTTAATATGTGAAAATGTTAGTATGTTATTGTTAGTGGTCGGTCAGCCAGTGACAGTCACTGCTCATCGATTCGTCGTTCCTTGCTGCTGTAGTTCATAACATAAGCCCGGTAAGCCCGATAAGCGGAGCCGCGGGAATCTCGGGGAGGATTTTTCGGTGCGCGGGTTGCGTTGTGAGAAGTGATCATAAATCGACCACCTCTCTGTCTTCTGTCCGGGGGTAGGCATAATTCTCGAGGGTGAGGGAGTTGGATTGGATGGATGGACATGGGATGGGGGAGGGGGTTTCATTTTCGGAGACGGAGTTTGCGGCCGATGAGAGCGGGCTGTTTTATTTGGAAAGATGGAGACTTTTGTTCTTTTGTTCATTGAGAGGATTGTGAGAGGTACGTCATGTCGCGGTTGTTGTATGTTTCCTTTCGAGGTGATTACGTTTTATTCAAATCCGACCCCCTGTTTCCAAGACTTTCTGAGGACGAGATCATGAGTAAGTGCGGCTGTTGGTATTATGAACCGACTCTGAATACGCGATACATCAGTACTGTTTGAAGGACTTCAAAGTCACGTCATGTCAATATTCAAATACACAAAGCCAAGGGGCCAAGATGTGAAGTATGAAATGCGGCCTCGGGAAGGAGGTGCCGGGTCGACCGGGAAGGACGATGTAGAGCGACCCGCGAAATCCAAAATCATAAGAGATATAGTTATCATTAGCTCAAGTTCCCGGGCGGGGGGAAGGGGAACGATTGTTGTCTGGCCCCGACCAGTGGGTGGATTTTGAAGTAGTTCATGTACTATAGTACATCGAGGTTTTGCGCGTGTTTTATTGTACTGGGAAGCCTTGAGTAAGTCAGTCACAAGGCTCTCCCTGCCTGACAGCACCATCCCGTCCGATGCGCGGATGTAGTGTGTGCTGACTGGCAAGGACCCTGTTTGGCGATTATTATTTTTCGTCTGGATTGGTGGTATGTTCCCGGTGGGTTGGAGTATACAGATTCATTGAGGATTTGAGTTGTGAGTTGTTGTTGTGTGGTCATGTCAAATACTTCAGTGTCTGGTCCGGGTACGTGTGCTTGGCAATGAGTCAACGGCGGATGACGATCTCTTCTTCCTCTTTGTTCCCCTTTCCCGCTGATGAACCTTGACACGGCGGGGAACAGGATATCAGATTGACACGGCAGCATCGCATATGCGAAAAGTGAGCGTGTGCCAGAAATGCAGAGCCCGTTTAAGTTGGCGAGCGACCAACAACAACTCACACATACATACTTCCGTGGGTCCGTCCAAGTCGCACAACTTTTTTGCTTTGCGTCAATGGAAGAGGGGGTGTGTGTAAGTGTGATGTGTATGGTCGTGTGTATCGCGCGGTTGAAATTTCCGCGTGCGACGGGGTACGACGGACGACGACGACACGCAAAGTACGAAAGGGAATCGACAACCACATGCCGCGGGCCATTTTAAGACTTTTTCCTTGTTGTGTGTCGTTATACACTCCAAAGGGAAGAAGCAGCAAAGAAGGGGGAGGGGGGGCCATAGATCGTAGACGGGTAGTCTGCTTGTTCATATCGGTGTTGGTGGGACGTTGTACCGGTAGGACGGCAGGCAGGACCAGCACCACCACTCCCCCATATCATGCACACGAGGGGGTAACATGTTGCTGATATGTGTGTGTACGAGAGAGGATGATTCGTGAGGAAACATCTGGGCTACTTTTTCTTTTGGAGAAAGAAAAACGGCCGGCCATATTGAGAAAAAGGTAGTATCCGCAGCAGCTACGTACGTTTGTTTTATCTCGCTGCTCCTCGTCGTGTGTAATGTGACCAACAGCCAAGTCGCGAGCCGACAGCTTACAATGCAGTGGAACACGTCGTACAAGACTTTGGGGAAGATAGGTAGAGAAAAAAAAAGGTCTTTGGAGGAGGGGCGTATGGATATGTTACGGCCGCAGGGCGGGGGAATAGGCTGGAGGGACAAAGTTGATTATCTCTCTGAGATCGAGTGAGATACAAGGCGGGCAAGGCGAGGGATTGGAATGGATGGTTTACGATCTCTTGTGTATATTTACGATATGGAATGGTTGGTTGTCGGAGGAAGGAGGAGAAGGAGGTGGTGGTGATATTGTCTTTGTGGGATGTGAGTTGTCGCATTCTTCGCATCTATGAGGGGGTTTTTGCCGGCCGGCGTGTGTGGATGGATGGATGAGTTGTCGTGTCTCGTCTCGAATTGTTTCTCGCGGTATCCGTAAAGTGTCAGCCAGCCAGCAAGCCCGTGGTTTTCGATTCGTACAATCGAATCAGTCAATCAATTAATCGACTTTTGCCTTGCCTAGTCTGGCTTATTGTATTTTTATTTTTATTCTTACTCATGGTCGTGGTCATCTTTTCTTTTCGTGCGGCTTCCCGCACCGCGGCGGCCGTGCCTGCCTACATGTACATGACGATTCGCTTTCCCATCTTGGCCTTTCCAAATCCCGTGTAGAAGTGAATCCCGTGCTTTTCAAAGCCCGCTGCATTCCGGGTCTTACTCTTCTGCCCAGGCAGACCGTGATTTGCTTTGCATGTCCGAACATTGTTGTTGTAATCTTGGCCCCGCCCCGAAGTACATGTCAAAGTGGGTAATGATGTGTTCTACGACTTCTAGCTCGCGTTCTATTCTTGCAGAATTGCAGATATCCCGGGGACGACTGTCGAGGAAAAAAGCGGGCACCTGTCTCGCTCGTCTCGTCTTGAAGGCCTTGGCTTTTCTCCCAGGCTGACATGACGGATCGAGGTCTTGGCGCGTGGAACGATTTTCAGGGAGCTCTCTACTATCAAAGTATGCGCGGAGGGACGAAGGAAGGGATTCGCGATCCGTGTGGTTGTGGTTCCCCTGCACAACGGCTTTCAGCTGCGATGATGCCGGGCGCGCAGGCACTCGATACACACAGGCTCAGTGTGGACCACGAAATAAAGGTTGACAAGCGCGGGGACATGGGGCTTCCGCTTCCCGCACATCAGCCATGCGAGTGCCCATGCGCCGCCGCCTTTGCGCTGCAATGTAAAGGCAAGGCTGGCTGGTCGGCCGTTCTCTGGCTTGTCTCGGGGTCCTCTCTGCGCGCGCGTGCGCGCTCTTCCCATTGCGACCGTGCCAGATGCCAAGAATCCGATGCCGTTCCCTTTGCAATCTCGAAGCTTGCAG